CTGGATCTGAGGGAAGAGGGGACTGGGAGCCTGAACTCTTGGGTCTGAGGGAAGAGGGGCTTGAGGGGCTAGACTACTGGATCTGAAAGAGGAGGTTGCTGGGGACCTTGAATCTGCTCCTCAGGGAGGAAGGAGCTGGCGGCCTGATACTACCGATCCCCAGGCGTTGAGAGCAGACCCCCGTCAGAGATCCACAGCCTCACCTCAATCTTCAGCTCCTTCCTCTGGCGCTGTAGCTCCTTCACCCGCTGCTCCATCAGGGCCACTCGAGTCAGAGCCTCCAGCTGCTGCCCTCGTAGCCGCCGAGCCACCCCTCGGGCCCCTTCCCCTGAAGGGGCGGGTGTGGGGGGCGTGGCAGGGATCGGTACGAGAGGCGGTGCCTCAGGCTGAGATTTGAAGAGGGCGTGGTCAAGCGGTGAAGCCTCGCCCACAGCAGTCCTTAAATAGGCCTGTTCCCCACCTTTCACATACATACATACAGACACACACACACACACACAGTCTGCAATCCAAGTTCATTCGCAAGTTAGGGTGGAGGGAGGTCTGGGTCTAGAGATCACCTGACCCACGTACCAGGAGAATGGGAATGGGGCAGACTCCTTGGTCCCATTCCTTAGCCTTACTTTCTCATAGTCCCAGGATCTCGCTTTCTCTCGATCTCTCTCACTTAGTATTTGTTTCTGAGTCTCTCTGGGTCTCTTTCTCTCTGACTCTCTCCCCATCTCTCAAGGTGTCTTTAGCTCTGTTTCTGTCAATTCTGCATGTTCTGGATCTCCATCTGTGTCTCTACCTCCAGCTCTCTAAGTGTAAGTCTCTGGGTTGCCCTTTTGGGTCTGGGTCTCCACACCTCTGAATTTTCCTGGCTTTGTATATGGGTCTCTCTCTCAGCAGTCTTCATATCTCTGAGGCTTTCTGTCTGGTTCTGATCCTATCTAGTTTCTATCTCTCTGGGTCTCTGTCTCTCTCAGTCTTTCACTCTGGCTGTCTCTTGGTCAAAGGAGACCTGGTGATGCAGTGGATTAAGCTTTGTGCTAATAATCACAAGGCTGGCAGTTCAAACCCACCAGCCGCACCGCGGGAGAAAGGTAGGGCTGTCTGCTCCCTTCCAGTCTCAGAAAGCCTTAGGAGCAACTCTACTATGAGTAGTATCGGGTCACTATGAGTCGGGATCGACTGAAGGACACTGGGTTTGGTTTGTCTCTCAGTAGTGTCTGTATCTCTGGGGCTGTCTCTCTGGTTCTGTCTGCTTTCTAGTTGTCGGTCTCTCTGGGGCTGTGTCTCTCACTCCCTTTGAATCTCTCTGACTCTGGGTCTGGGTCTCTGTCTCTCAGTAGTCTCCACATTTCAATGTCTCTGTCATCGGGTTTCTCCATGCCTGTCTGTCTATCTGTCTCCCGTTGGGCTCTGTCTTTGGGAGTCTGTCTCTTTGAGTCGTCCTCAGGACCCTCACCGTGTCGCGGCTGCTCTCAGTACTGCTGCCTTCCACTTCTTCCTCTTCCTCAGCTTGCTGCTCAGCTCCTGGGCCGCTCCGAAGCTCCGCCGGGGCCTCGGGCACCTCTGGCTCCCGAAGCTCCTTGGGGGACTCCTGAGATGGGGCAGGCTCTTGGAGCCGCGCCTCCGCATCGCGCTCCGAGAGCGGCAGTGGTGACGGGGACCCCTCCTCGGGGTTGCTTGGCGTCCCCATGGCCGCTACGTACTCTTACGAGGTAGGCGCGTCCCACGGTGCTGTGGCCGCCTTGAGGGCGGGACCTAGGAGTTCTGAGCACCGCGCCCGACAGCTCGGGGGCGTGGACACAGTGCTTCAGGAGGCGGGCCCTAAGGGTTCAAAGGATGGGAATTTAGCGTTCCAGGGGCGGGGCATTACGTTTGGGGCGGGGCTTGATGGCTCCGAGGGCACCACGCCCCCGGAGGCAGGGCCGGAATTCTAGTCCGGGGTCCCAGCACGCCCCCTACCGGCATCTTCGACCCCTTTTCCCCCCCGCCTACCCAGGTACCCTGCAGGAGGTGTACACATCCCTAACAGCCCCTCTCAGTCTCTTGGGCTATCTTAAAGCGACCTCATCTCCTTCTCCCTCAGGGACTCAGGAACTCAAGCTCCTGCCCCCTTCTCTCTTACACCTCAAACGTCCTCCCCGGAGCCCGGGAGTCCTGGGCCCAAATCCGCTGAGTAGAGAGCAGCGCCTCCCCCACCTCACCCAGGGACCCAGGAGTCAGGCTACCAGTCTCTGCGCAAACCTAGAGTTCATGTCTTCAGTTCCTCCCGGGAGCACGATTCCCCAAGTCCAGTTCCATCTCCCCAGCGGCCTCGGAGGCCGAGTCCCCAGTCTCCTCCTCCCCCGCGGCCCTGGCCTCCTCACCAGCTCCGGCTTCGGCGCGCTCCGCTGTGCTCTAGGCGCCGCCGCTTCTGTCTGAGAGACAGGTGGTTGGGGAAGAGGGAAGGACAAGAGAGAGGCGGCCTCGTCCCCCTCCCCAGCAGCCCGGAAGTGGAGGGGGGGACAACAGGTCCGACAGCTCCCGAGGGAAGAGGGAGAGACCAGTTTGCCCCGCCCGCGGCGGCGGTGGCATCCGGCCATCCCGGCCCCACTGGCCCCACCCTCAGCGAACACAGCACCCCATCCCACTCTGCCTCCAGCGCCCCCTTTCCTGCCCCCAGATACCTGGGGCCCGCTCTGTAGAAACACCCTCTTAATGCCTAGACCCTGGGAGTCCCTAAAGGGGCAGGGGGATGGAGACGGGGGCCTCTCCCCTCTAATGAGCCCTTTAGAAGGGCCCTGACCGGTTTGGGGAGCAGGGCAAGGGGACGGGGGCCCCTGAGATGAGTCAGAGACCCACCCAGAGACAGGGGGGAAGTGTGCCCCTCCCCAGTTTGCCAAGGGGTGGAGGGTAGAGGTTAAAGGTCTCAACCAGGCCCTTTCCCCTCTGGGTAAAAAACAGGAAAATAGCTGGTGTGTGGAAAGGGGTGATTAGATTCGGCAGGTGTGCCCCCCACACACTTTTATACACGCTAATTTCATCTTCACAGCAGCCCAGGGGTTGCTCTCTGAATTTTACAGTTTGAGAAACTGAGGCTGAGGGGGTGGGACAAATGTGCGCCCAAGAGCTACACATGCTGTAAACATTAACTATAAATTCTGTCCTCTGTAAAGCCCACGTTGTGACTACCATCACTCCTGGTCTGATGTTGTTAAGGACCATGTAGTTGGTTCCCACTCATAGTGACCCTGTACAAGGGTCTCCGAGACTGTAAATCTTTATGGGAGCAGAAAGCCTCATCTTTCTCCCACGGAACAGTTGGTAGTTTCGAACTGTTGACCGTGAGATTAGCAGCCCAATTCGTAACCATTACGCTACCAGATAAATGGTTCCAAAGAATGGTGACAATCACTAGCACTGATAGGGAGCCTTTCAAGCAGGCTCTATGCCAAACATCTCCTATGTATCAACCCATTGGGTAGTCACAACAACCCTAGTATTACTATTATGATGTCCATTTTACAGATGAGGAAACTGAGGCCCAGAGAGGTAAAGTACCTTCTCCTGGATCTCTCACAGGGAGAAGTGGTTCAAACTCCAGGAAATGAAAAGAGCTTGCTCAGATTTCTATGTTTGCTCCTGATCTTGTGAGTTAGGAAATCTTACGAATCCTTGGACCGTCACCCTGTCCAGCCGCTCTGGTCTCTCCAGGCACCTCAGCCCGGAGGCCCAACTGACTCTCCCCACCCCCTGAAAAAACAAGCCGTAGTCAGATTCACAGCACACACAAAAACAGTTTATTTAAGAAGCTTGAAGGGCTGGTAAAGGGTAGAGAGAGGAGAGCGGGGGCTGATCCCTCTCCCCTTACCCCACCTAGTGCATTATAAACAGGGACGAGCACCCAGAACAGTTGCTGATTATAAACAGAGGAGCTGTCAGGAGGGGGGTGTCTGGATCCCACAGCGCATGTTAGCTGGAACAGCAACATCTGAAAAGAGGAGACCAAGAGGGTAAACTAAGGGGGTTCAGACAGACCCACATGCCCCAATGAGGACCCAGAAACCCAAGAACCCTGTTTTTTGGCGGGAATCTAAAAGTCTGGCCAAGAGACCCCTTCTTCTTCATACTTAAGGTCCATGTCTTCCAAACTCCTCGTGCCTCAGACCCACTTCTCCAGGCCCCTGCCCCCACCTCCCTCCTATGTAGGGCTCCCAGGTTCTAGCTGCTCACTCACCTATCTGCTGAGGCTTAGGCAAGTTCAGGTTGTTCATGACCTTGATAAACTCCTCACAGCTGAGCGTAAGCCGAGGGTTCAGAGTCCGCTCCTCCTCCACAGTGGACACTGTAAGCCCTAGTGGCCAAGGGAGGGGGAGGAAGTCAACCAGTCCCTCCTAGGACTACATTTCCCAAGAGGCCTCAGGGTGCCGCTTAGGTTTAGGACTAACAGGCTCTTCTTAAAAACATTCCTCAGATTGCAGTCCCTTCTCCATGGGCATTATGGGAAATGTAGTTTCTCACATTTCCCTATAACAAGTCCCAGGAAAACCTATGTGCTACAAAATTTTAGGAGTCATACTTTCTGCACCCACACACAATATCCGTAAGCACTTGCTTTTTTGGACCCATGAATTTGTAGTCTCCATGTTCCATGAGGATTATGTTGTTGTTGTTATGTGCCGTGGAGTCAGTTCTGACTCATAGCGACCCTGTACAGGGTTTCCAAGGCTGTAAAGCTTTACGGGAGCAGAAAGCCTCATCTTTCTCCCGCGGAACAGCTGGTAGTTCAAACTGTTGACCTTGCGGTTCGCAGCCGATTTCATAACCACTCAGTCTGATAAACCAAGCTCCCTGCCATTGAATTGATTTCATATCATGGCTACCCCAGTTGTTACAGAAGACAATTGCTCCACAGGATTGTCTTGGCTATAATCTTTAGGGAAACTGATCACCAGACCTTACTTCCAAGGTACCGCTGGGTGGGTGTGAACCACTAACTTTTGGGTTAGTAGTCAAATGTAGGTGATGGCTCCATAGGATAAGCACTGGACTGCAAACCACAAGATTCAGGGTTCGAGTCCACTAGCCACTCCATGGGAGAAAGATGAGGCTTTCTGCTCCCACAAAGATTTTTAAACCCTCAAAAACCCAATACAGGGTCACTATGAGTAAGAACTGACTCACAGCATTTATAACAAGTCAAGTGTAAACTGTTTGCACTGCCTAAGCCTCTGTCAGTCTGATAGACAACAACAACAAACAGCTGCTGTCAAAGTGATCCCAGTGCATGGCGACCACATGTACTGTGGGATAGAATTGTGCTCCCTAGCGTTTTCAAGGCCATGACCTTTGAAAGTAGATCACCAGCCCTGTCTGCGGAGGTGCCTCTGCATGGATTTGAACCACCAACCTTTGCAATTAATAGTTGAGTGCTTGACAATTTGTGCCACCCAAGGGACTCAACAGTCTGATACTCCCTTTCAAAGAGTCATTCATTATCTAAGTCCCACACCGCCTTCAGAAAGTCCTCACCATGGTAATCATGAGCAGGGTAGATCAGACAGTCGCCAGGAAGCGTGAAGATCTTTTCATGAACTGAACGGTACAAAGTCTTAGCACAGCCTGGGGAGGGAAGACTCAGTGGTCAGTGGAAAAAGGTGGGAAGATAAATTCCCTGTAGCTAAATCCCATCCTCATCTCCCACCAGTACCCTTTTTGGCGAGCTAGAGGAGGAGAGGGAAGGGCATTATTGGCAAGTGGAACAAAGAGTTGAGGAATTGTGAGCAATTCAGTGTGACTATAAATGAGATCTTGACACACTAAGGCGTCTGGCCTCACCCTGACAATACCAAGAAAGGGTTCTAGGCAAGGAAGGTAGGAGGACACTTGGTTCTGAAAAGAAGTTCTGAGTCCTAAATTGGAGCAGGAGCAAACCTTTCTGGAATATTCTTTTGCCTTTCGTTTCAGTCTAAATTCTTGCAACTTCAAGACATTGTGGGGAGTGGATGAATGGGAGACTGGATGCCTCAGATTGAGAGATAAAGCCAGAAGGAAGAGGAAGCAAGATGGCCTGGAGACCTGGCCGCCCACATACTACTCAGGGTAGCTTCTGCCTTTTCTCATCTAGTCTTGACCTCCTCCCCCACAAGGCTGCTAAAACCTCCAAAACTAATGTCAAAACCCACATTCACATACATATTTGAAGGGCAGCCAAACCCTAAGATTGTCGAACCAAACTCCTTTCCCACAGCAAGTCCCAGGAATCTAACTGCCCCCAGCGCTCATCTTCAAATGTTAACACTGCTCCCTAGCAATGACCACTGTCTCCAATAACCTCCTAGCACCTAAGGCCTGGAATCTAACGGCTCCCCTAGCAGCTAAGCTCCTAAATCCAAGTGTCCACCCCGCCCCTACTCCCTGCAGTTAAACCCCTGGTGGTAGTTGTAAAATATACCCACAAATTCTTTGATACTTCTTTCCCTCACCTTGACTTAGTTAGTGGTCTGGACTAAACAACAAGCTTTTATTAAGTAGGATATGGCAATAATGATAGTGTCATTTCTGGGGCTGGGTCATTAAGAAAAACAAACGGTGGCTCTGCTTGTCCCTCTGGGAGAACCCAACGGCAATGTCTTGCAGACACTCTGAGCAATATCAAAGAATCACAGGAGGATCAAACAATCTGGACATATTTTACAACTACCACCAGGGGCTTAAGGAGCTCTGGAAACGTAATGGTTACGAATCGGGCTGCTAACTGCAGGGTCAGCAGTT